AAAAAAAAAAAAAAAAAAGAATTCAGAAGCAAAAAAGAGTTCCTTAGTTTTTAAATTTTTTTAAGTTGATAAGCACATTCCAGTTGTACCTATTTTTTCGTTGGGAAAACCCTAAATTTCATTTTATTGTTCACAGTAGTGATGACAACTAACTGCTGTGCCGCCCTGTAATGAAAGTTTTCTTTTTGTCTTCAACTTCTAGCTGAGGAAATTTCTCTAACATCCAGTATTCTTTTTTCTTTTAAAGAGAATTTAATTTGTAAATCAGCTGATGGAAATTAAGAACACTTTGATATGACTCATTTTTTTTATTATAGTATAGTAGTTATTTATTTACTTATTTGTGATACTGTGGAGTATTCTACCTCTGAGCTTCATCCCCCAGCTCTTTTTACTTTTTATTTTGAGACAGGTTTTTGTTAAGATACACAGGCTGGACTCAAACTTATGATCCTCCTGCCTCAACCTCTCAAGTCACTGGGATTATAGGCGTATACCACTGGGCCCATCTTACAGTATAGTTTTTATAAATGTTCTTTGCTTTTTGCTTTTCCTTTTCAAACATGTCATTTTTTAAATATTTATTTATGTATCTTTGGTTTTAGATGGACACATTATTTTGTTTTTTTTTTTTTTGTGGTGCTGAGGATCGAACCCAGTGCCTCATTCATGCTAGGCAAGCTGAGCCACAACCCCAGCCCAAACATGTCATTCTTCATTGGCTCTTGAGAAGGTAAAGATTTAGGATTTATTGGCCTATGAAAGAAAAGAATATTACTTCCTCCTTTTCAGTGTTGTTTCACAGCTGCAGATTTGAGCTAGAGAAAGCAGTGTAAAAAAATGTAAGAAGATAGAGGGGCAGTATGCCTTGTGCCAATAAGGACCTGGCCTTAGAATTGTTAACTATTAACTATTTTTTATATTTTGCCTCTGGATATTAGGACCTCTGTTGCTTCTTTCTTTCTTTTTTTTTTTTTTTTTTTGGTACTGGAGATTGAGCTCAGGAACATTCAACAACTGAGCCACATCCCCAGATCTATTTTATATTTTATTTAGAGACGGAGTCTTATTGAGCTGCTTAGCATTTCACCATTGCTGAGGCTAACTTTGAACTCACCATCCTTCTGTCTCAGCCTCCTGAGCTGTTGGGATTACAGGCGTGCGCCACCATGCCCGGCTTTTGTTGCTTCTTTCTGATGTATTGCCTTCTTGGGACTCCATCCTTGAATCATGCCTACCTGGGAGCTACATGCCTTGGCATGAGGCTGGATTTCCAAACATTTAAGTACTCTGAGCTAAGTGTTCCTTCTCAGGTGTTTACTCAGCTGTTGTTTTCTGCTTCCCTCAGTTCTGTAGTGCATCTGTGAATTTATTATGATAATTAGAAATTATCTTAGCTGTTTACCTCACTCATTCATCTATCTCTCATCCCTATTTTTCTCATGTACTTAAATAAGTAAACATATACCTAACTATACATCAGCCATTATTACCTTTCCATGTTGTTTTTAGCTGTTTTTCCATCTGTTTCTGACTAGATTATGAACTATAAAAGGACAAGGGTTTCTTGTTGTAGCTGTTTTTAAATCTCTATCTTTGATACCTAACACAGTGGCATTTAATAAACTCTGAAAGTCATTGTTTTTCAGATTTTTTAAACTCGTGTCCCCTCTTGATAAATTATTCTTGAACTATTCTGATAAACCCTCTATGAGATTCACCAAGAAGAGAGCAGAAAACATATATCTTCACCAAACAAGAACATTAACTTTTTTTTTTTTTTTTTTTTTTTTGGTACTGGGAATTTATCACTGAGCTACATCCCCAACCATTTCCTTTTTTATTTTGAAACAGCGTCTCACCAAATTGGCGAGGCTAGCCTAGAACCTGCAGCCCTGCCTCAACCTCCTGAGTAGCTGGGATTACAGGCATGTGCCATCGTGCCTAGCAAGAATATGAACTTTGGAGCTGTGGTTGTGATTCAGTGGTGGAGCACTCGCCTAGCACACATATGAGGCACCAGGTTCGATCCTCAGCACCACATAAAGATAAATAAGATAAAGGTATTGTGTCCATCTAAAACTAAAAAATAGAAAAAAGAACATGAGCTTTTTATACTTTGTATGTTAATATAAGCTTGGTTCCTTTTTCCAAATATAAAATTAAATGTCATTGAAAATGCCTTTTCATATATCAAATGACCTCCTAGAGGGAATATGTTTATACTGGTTTACTCTTATACACACCCATCTTTATACTGCTTTATACTACTCCAGTGTCCCAGGAAATTGGGAAAGTACTCTATGCTAGGAAATAATGCCAAGTTTTATTGGATTACTTTAACTCTTAGTTCTGGTGCTGGTTCAGTTGTCTTACTTGGGTATTAATCTCCTTGTTTACTAATAATAAAAGCAGTGCTTAGATAGTCTGTGCAGGGACCAACAGGCACCATGAAACAGCCAGATAAATGGACTATGACCCCAAAAGACACACCTACTTGTAACAACAAATTTTACTTTGGCAAAAGAAAGTGTTTTTTATTTTCCCTATGTTATCACAGTGACTTACATAAAGCTGATACAAAATACTGTTTGTTTCTGAATACTTTGGTTTGTGGAGTTTTATTCTTCTCAGCACATTTCGTGTTCTAATAATAACACGTCTCTATCGGGTCATTGAGGCGGGAGAAAGGCATATACAGTGATCCAGCTGTCTGGAATGAAATCTAACTCTGCTTCTCCCTAGCCCTGGCCACAGTAGAGGAGATGGAACCCAGGACACCTTACCACTGAGCTTACATTCTTGCCTTTATTTATTTATTTATTTGAGACAAGGTCTTCCAAAATTGCCCAGGCTTGTAATCCTCTTGCTTCAACCTCCCAAATAGTACGATTATTGGTGTGTGCCACCATATGCAGCTTGCAGATTTGTTTGTTTGTTGTGACGCTGGAGATTAAACCCAGGGCCTTGTGCATACAAGACAAGCCCCCTACCAACTGAGCTATATCCCTAGCCCATTGCAGTTTCTTTTGATGATCTAGTAATTCTATGATTTTTAAGGAAATGTGATTCAAAAGTTTTTAAAACTTCAAAAACATCATACAAAGATAGAAGATTTATGTTTGTTTCTAACTCTGTCCTCTTCCTCTTCCTGCTTGTTTTTTGAGACTAATAATGTCTCCCAACCAAAGAGATTGTAAAGAAAAGCAACAAGCTACAACTTGTTGACACAAAGCACAATCTTGATTACATTGTAAAGGTGATTTTTTAAAAAATGTTACTGAAATGTAAAGTCTTTAAGCATTTGCATTAGGTGGAGGCTGAATTTTTAATTATGTCTTTTATGGGCAAAAAAAAAATTCACTATATTTAGCTTCAAAAAGATTACAAGTAGTATGTTTTCAGTAGAACCCAACCTTTATTATCACTAATCAGGTAATAAGAAAGCAGCTAAATGCATTTGAAGGCCTCATTTAACTTTTTTTTTTTAATGGTACCAAGGATTGAACTCAGGGGCACGCAACCACTGGGCCACATCCCCAGCCCCCAGGGTCTCTGAGTTGCTTAGCGTCTTCCTTTTGCTGAGTCTGGCTTTGAACTCACAATTCTCCTGCCTCAGCTTTCCGAGCTGCTGTGATTACAGGCATACGCCACCACACCCAGCTCATTTAACAGATTTTATTCCTTAATTTTGTTCAGTTACTTTAAACTTAGAAATTGACTCTCCCTTCAGAATGTCAAGAATCTGACCACTTCTCACCACCTCCACTCTGACCACCCTGGTCTGAGCTATTATTCACTTTCAGCTGGATCATTGCTGAAACTTCCCACATGATCTCCACACTTTTACCCTTTTCCCTCTCCACCTCTCAGTCTGTTCTCAAAAGAACAACTGCAGTAATCCTATAAAAATGTTAGATCCCAGGTTGGGGTTGTGACTCAGCGGTCAAGCGCTCACCTAGCATGTGCGAGGCCCTGGGTTCAATCCTCAGCACCACATATAAACAAACAAAATAAAGGTCTTGTGTCCAACTGCAACTAAAAAATAAATATTTTTTTTAAATGTTAGATCTCATGCTTCATCTACTCAAAACTTCCTAATAGCTTCTCATCTCAGGGTAAATGCCAAAATCCTTTCCAAAACCTACAGAGCCTTCCATAGTCTGTACCCCAGTTAACTCTTAGACTAGCTCAATCCAACCACATTTGCCAGCTCATTGAATCACACCAAGCACAGTCCTTGGTATTAGTTGTCTGCATCCCACTTGCTAGACTGCTGTCTCCCCACATCTATGCATGGTTCCCTCTTGAATCTCCTTTAACTCTTTCCCCAAAAGATGACTTCATTGAAGCTTTTCTTGACCTCTGTATATAAAATTACAGACACTTCCTTCCCTTGAACTCTTTCTATCCTATTTTCCCTGCTATAGTTTTTTCTTAGTACTTGTCACTATGTATTATTATTCATTTTATTTGTTGTTTTTATATGTCTGTCCCTGTGTACTTGTGACCCCTGTGAGGGCAGGGATTTTTCCTGTTTTAATCACTGATGTATCCTCAGTGCCTAGAAAATGCCTAGAATGATAGACACAATAAATATTTGTTGAATGAATGAATCAGTTTCCCTATAGTTCCTAGGCTATCCTACCAATATTTTGAAAAAATCAGTAATAGTCATAGTTCTAGGAGCCTGAGCTCTAAACTCTAAGAATAAAGAGCTATATTTTCTGCCCACTCCACCTAGCCCCCAGCCAAACAGACCTCCTTATGCCCATCTTTTAAATCCTCAGTTCAAGAGCCTTACTATATTAACCGTCTCCGCTTCTCCCAACTCTCCCCCAAAAAGTAAATACTTACTCCCAGAATACCTGTCATCTTTTTCCCTCTTATCTCCTATATAAAACCCTGTAGTGAAAAAGTTATTAACTGAATTTCACTTAACTGAACTCCAGTTAACTGCCTGGTGGGATTAGCCAGTGTTCTCATTCCCACTGTAAAACATATTGACGAGGGCCCACAGCCTGCTGAATGTTCTTAGCTAAATGTTCACAGCTGGTAGACACGCTCTAGCAAGCTTTGTGCTTTCACTTCCTCCACTTAAATTTGTATGCATATTGAAGTCAGTTGTATTTATGCCCAAACCTGTTTATACCAGTTTAATGTTAAAATAGATTAAATAATCATAGTCTATTAAATACATAACACAGTGTGTTTTTAGAATGGACTGTATTTTTTTTAAAACATCTTTAGGCTCACAGGGAAGAGGGGGCAGATACAGAAGTCCCATATATTCCCTCTCTCCACACAAAGCACAGCCTCCCCAGCTATCAACAAAATGTACCAGAATGGTACATTTGTTCAAATCAGTGAGCCCACATAGACACAGTATCACCATACTATATTTTAGGATTCCCTTTGGTATTTTACATTTTATTAGTTTTAACAAACATGATGACATATGTCCTCCATTGTATTATCTATCCTTCCAGATAGTTCTGCTGCCCTAAAAATCTTCTGTGCTCCCCACAGTAAACCCTGACAATTGCTAATCATTTTGCTCTCTGTATATCAGGATGTCAGATAGGTAGATTCATATAATGTATATAGCCTTTTCAGATTGGCTTCCTTCATTTAATAATATGCATTTTAAGTTTCATCCATGTCTTTTCATGACTTGATTGTTCATGTATTTTATTATCACTGAATAATTCTATTGTGTGGCTGTTCCATGGTTTATTCACTCCCTATTGAAGGACATCTTGGTTGTATACAAATCTTGGCAATTATGAATAAAATCACTGTAAACATCCATGTACAGGTTTTTATGTGACATAAGTTTTCAGTTTGTTTGGATAAACACCAAAGAGTACAATTACTGAATCATATGATAAGGCTATGGTTAGTTTTCTAAGAACTACTAAACTGCATATTTTATAGTGACTGTTCCCATTAGCAAAGAAGGTGAGTGAGTTGTTGCTCCGTGTTACAATTTGAATATGAGATATCCCTCAAAAGCTCCTCTTTTAATGCAGGAATGTTCAGAGATGGAAGATTAGATTATGAGAGCTGTGACCTAATCATGGATTTATTCATTGGTGGGTTAATAATTTAAATGGAGCAACTGGGTGGTAACACAGGCAGGTGGGGCATGGCTGGAGGAAGAGGTCAGCTGGGGCATGCCTTTAAGGGTTGTGTGTGTCTCTTGCCTTTGGCTCTTCTTGCTTCTATAGTGAGCTGAGCAGCCTTCTTCCACCTTGCCCTCTACCATTGTGTTTGGCCTCACTAGGGCCCAGAGCAATGGAGTGGGCCAGTCATAGACTGAAACCTCTGAAACCATGAGCCCAAGATAAACTCCCTCCGATAAGTTGTTCTTGTCAGGTATCTTGGTCACAATAATACAAAGCTAACTAACACACTGTGTATCTTTGCCAGCATTTGGGATTGAAGTGTTTTGGATTTGGGCATTTCTAATAGGTTTGTAGTGGTAGCTAATTTTGTTTTAATTAGCAAGTACTTACTAATGTCTATTGAACATCATTTTATATGCTTATTTTCTATCTTCATATCTTCTTTGATGGTCTGTTTATTCAGGTCTTTGATCCATTTTTTAAATTGGCCCTTTATCAGATGTGTCTTTTGCAAATATTTTCTCCCAATAATGTGACTTATTTTCTCATCCTCTTGAGAATACAAGTTTTTGTCTGAAATTAGTAGAGTTACTTCCACTTTCTTTTCATTGGTATTAGTGTGGTATATCTTTGTATACCCTTTTACTTTTGTGTATGTCTTTATACTTAAAGTGGTTTTCTTTTTAGATGACATGAAGTTGGGACTTGGTTTTTTATGCACTTTGACAATCTCTTTATTTTAATTGGTGTATTTAGACCATTGATACTTAAGGTGATGATTGGTATAGTTGGATTAATATCTGCCCTCTTTGTTGCAATTTTGTATTATTTCTCTTATTTTTTGTTCATATTTTTATCTTTCATACTTTTTCTGCCTTTTGTGTTTTTTTTTTTTTCCTTACTTTCTTTTCCTTTTTTGTGGTACTAGAGATTGA